GTCTGGCATGAGACCAGTAGTCTTGTCCCTCCCCCGTCCCAAACAGCCAGCGGGGCCAGCCAGGTGTGGATGTCAGAGAAAGAAGACACTGGAAGGAGTAAGGCGCCTATATTAATAATGTATAACTTGAGCCCAGAGCCAAGGAGAGGAATGTACACTGTGAGAGGTAGGGGTGTGTGTGTGTGTGTGTGTGTGTGTGTGTGTGTGTGTGTGTGTGTAACTGGAGGTGGGCTCAAATAAGCTGTTCTTCTATAGGTTTGTGATTATCTGCTCCTGTATACTTTCTAGGTACCAGGCTCCATTTTAGGTGCTAGGGATGTAGCAATGAACAAGACAGACAAGGTTTCTGTTATCATTGAACTTATATTTCAGTGAAAGACACAGATAATATAGAAGTAAATAAAATACATGCAATAATTTCAACTAACGAAAAGTTCCATGAAGAAAATGACACAGAATGATTTGATAGTTTCTGGAGGGGCAAGCTGTGCCCATAGGTGGATACATAAATGTGGTGCATATACTTGCAGAGCGGCCCATGTTTGAGTCCTTATATTTATACTTATGTGTGCCTATGTGTGCAAATGGGCAGCTTTTATGCTTACAATATTTTATATATTAGTATATGTGATATTATGCATGTGAGTGCACACAGGCGAACTGGTATGTGGTATGGTATGTGGTATGCACGTGGAAATGTGCATGGGTACGTGGTATATGTCTGCATTTAGCCGTAATTAAAGATGTTCCGAAGTTCCTCGTGGTACTTGTCAGTGGGCCAGTTAAGGAAATAGCTGTTTTGCTTCTAGCATTCAAGGCCATTTGCCAGCTTCTTCATTCCCTGTTCCTTCCCACTTTAGAGAGCTCTCTCTGCTTTGCTCCTCTTAGCCCTAGGAGGGCTAAGCCAAGAAAAGGATAGTAACTCACTCACTGAGCCAGGAGCTGGGAAGAGGCCGATAATCTTCTGTGTGACCTCTAAAGGCCTGGCTTCTTTGCTAGTCCCTGTCCTTCACACTATGAGGAGAAAGAGTCCTGACTTGAAATCAGAAGACCTGAAGATCTATTCTTGGCTCTGCCACATATTATTGTGTGACCTTGGCCAAGCTATTACATCTCTCTGGGTTTCAGTTACCTCCTTCATAAGTACTCTGGGTAATGTAGTATTTAGGGAGGGCTATGTGGGGTGCTGGTGCCTGAAGGAGGAGGGAAGGTATTCTGAGCAGGGGCAATGGCATGATCAAAAGTGTGGAGGTGGGCCTTTCTGCATAAGGGAGGCCAGAGGAACCCACTTAGAATAAAATTCAGACTTCTTACCACTGCCTACGAGACCCTACATGATCTGGCTATTGCCTATCTCTCATTCTTTTCCTCCTTCTTGTTCATTATGCTCTAGCTAAACTGGCTTCCTTTCTGTTCTTTGAATAGGCCAAGCTCTTTACCACCTCAGAGCTTGTCCAAATTTCAATATTCTCTCTGCCCAAGAATTCATAGAATTGCCTACTTCTCATTACTCCGGGGAGAGGCCTTCCCTCACCCTCTTATTTAAAGTAGTTGTCCTCTAATATTTATCAATATTTAAAATGCATATATCCTTTGACCCAACAGTTTTACTTCTAGTAATTCATCCTACAGATATATTTGCTAGTGAGTTAAATGACATTTAAATAAAGATATTTCTTGAAGCATTTATTTTTTAAATAAATTATGGCACATACAAACAGTGGAACATTATGCAGATGACAAAGAAAATGAAATAGCACAATATGAATGATATCAAGGTTTATTGTTAAATTTTTAAAAAAGCAAGATGATCGAGTGCTATACTTAAGATCTGTGCAGTTTATTGGATATATATTATACTCAGTAAAAAGCAAGATACAGAATAGTGTATACTGTATGCCACTGTTTGCATAGAAAAATAATGAGAATATATAAACATAAATGCATGTATTTATGCTTATATGATAGGTCTGTCCTCTGGTTAAAGCAGCCCTGTCCCTTCTCTACCCACCCTATGCTTAGTTAGGATCTGTGAGGCATTCATTTCTCTTAACAGCATTAAAATTCAAATTTTTAAGTTCAATTTTTAAATTTCCATCTTCAGTGATATCCCTAGGACCTTATGAAAGATGCTAACAGTATAGCTCTCTTCCAAAGTGATTATCTTGGTAACTCCACACTAGTTCAGTTTCTCTGTACCTCCTATCCTACTAGGAGTGGCCTTGTCTGCATATTGACTATTTCTGGAAAGTTACACAACACAGGGTAACAGTGGTTGCCAGTAGGCAGGGTGCCTGGGGTGGGAGGGAACTTATCACATATTATTTTATGCAGTGTCATTTGTGTTTATTACTTATTTTTAAAAAATCATAAAATTGAAAAAGAAAAACCACTGAGGGGGGATATTCTTATAGTTAAATCTTCACATATAGTCATGAATATTTCTTATGATGTCTTTTAAAAAAGTATTTATCCTCAAATAATGCTTACCGTAATCTGAAATTATCTTGGTTGTATTTATTACTTGCATATTTCTTGCATTATCATTGGAATATAAGCTCCATGTTGTCAGGATCTTACTTATCTTGTTCATCGGTGCCTTGTTTCTATATGCATACATTGCACATAGTAGTTGTTAAATAAGAAAATGAACAAATGAAGAAATGACCAAAGAAAACGGGGCTGAAGCTTGAGGAGGAGTGTGAGGCAAGGCTGAGGAAGTAGACAGAAATCAGCTGATAGAGGCTGTTGATTCTCAAACTTTAAATGTGCATCAGAATCGCCTACTGATTCTTTATACCAGCTTATAATAAGGAAGTGAATTCTTGGACTCTGTGATTCTGATTCAGTAGGTCTGAGTTGGGGCTCAAGAATGTAGATTTTAACAAGTTCCCTGGGTGACTTGGGTGCTAGTAATCTGGAGGCCCCACTTTATGTCTGTGATATAATTTCTCCTTAAATATCTCTAGGATGGAAGATAAGGGACCATCATACCATTTTATCAACCTCAATGAGGCTCAGAGATGAACAGTACATTTTCAATGACACATAGCTTGTGTATAAAGTATACTTGAAAGACCAGCGTATCTGACCTATCAGTTCAAACTGTCTGATAGACAGCTCACCCTCATAGGACATTCTCAGACCTTGGTGTTACTGAAAGGATTTTATGACTCTTCCTATTTCTTGTTTGGGGAAGAGATTATACTCCCCAATGACTGGTTCTTTCTCATGTATCCCAGGGAGGGCAATGAGCCAGAAGAGACCACCCAGATCACATACGGTGAACTTCTGGTTCAAGTGTGTCAGTTCAGCAATGTTCTCCGAAAACAGGGTGAGTGTGGGGTAGGGGAAGGGGACTGGAGGATCTGGCCTCCGGGTGTCTGAGAACTTGGGGGAAGGAATCTGGTAACAGGAATAGAAAAGGTCAGCTGAGAAGAGTGGGGTGGTAGCTGGATGAGAGGGAGTAAGTAGCAGCAGAAAGGGTCCATGGTCTGTGTCTTTTACCTGCAGGCATTCGGAAGGGCGATCGAGTGGCCATCTACATGCCCATGATACCAAAGCTTGTGGTAGCCATGCTGGCATGTGCCCGCCTTGGGGCTCTGCACTCCATTGTGGTAGGAATTTGGGCTGGAAAAAGGGGCCAGGGTGGGGGATGGGGCTCTGGAGAAGTAGCTTGGGCCAGGATGATGGAGGATCTTAGGAATCAGACTAAATAACGATGTATGGTGCCAGATGGGTACTAGACTTATCAGGGGGATCACTCATAAATTATATAAATGTCTAATCATTATGCTATACACCTGAGACTAATATAAAATAATATCGAATATCAAGTATAATTGAAAAAATCAATAAATAGTAAATAAATAATAATAATAATAAAATAAAATGGAGGGCTCAAATGAGCTCTCCATATACCAGGGCAGGGATGAGGTGGGTTGGGGTGGTGAGAACCAGACTAAGGAATTTAGAATGTTTCCCTATCAGTTATCCAGTTTATTCTAGGATCTTGACTTAGAGACCCTGAAAGTTTTTTGAGTAACTCCTTTCCTTGTGCACTTAATCCCTGGATCCTCCTCTTCCTCAGTCTTCCTTCCCTTCCCTAGTTTGCAGGCTTCTCTGCAGAATCTCTATGTGAACGGATCCTGGATTCCAGCTGCAGCCTTCTCATCACTACAGGTGACTAATTCTCTCACTCCTTTTCTAGTACTCCTTCACCCTAAATCTTTGTCTATAAATAATCGGCTAGTTGGAGTTTGGGACTGCTCAGCATAGAGAGTAGGGATTGCCTTCCCTTTACCTCCTAATTCTACCTCAGCCAACCCTCTATCAGCTCAAACCAACTAGAAGAGCCAGAGTAAAGAGGCCCACTCAGGAAGGATTCTCTGAACATTGTGCTCACTAGGGATAGGGGGTGAGGAGTGTGGTAACTTCCTAAGGCCTGGAATGTCTGTTGCTCTCCAAAGATGCCTTCTACAGGGGGGAAAAGCTTGTGAACCTGAAGGAGCTGGCTGATGAGGCCCTGGAGAAGTGTCGGGAGAAGTAAGTGTGTTTGGCTGGTTGGCTGCGACTCTGGGTCAACTGGGCATTTCCCCAGTGCCAGGTTCCCTCTGTCCCTCTTACACTAGATGGACATGGGTGGGTCCTGCCAAATTCTCTTTTGAGCCAATGAGCCCACCACTTCAGGCTTTTCTTTCCTCCAGGGGTTTCTCAGTGAGATGCTGCATTGTGGTCAAGCACCTGAGGCGGTCAGAGCTGGGCACAGGTGACTGTTCCAGCCAGTGCCCCCCAGTTAAGAGGCCATGCCCAGATGTGCAGGTGAGTCTGGTACTGCTTTAACCTCCTCTGGGCTCAAATTGGTTCCCTTTTTTTGCCCAGGAAGTTCCTGATGTCCTTCTTTCCTTCCTCATTATAATGCAGAGGATCTGGGAGCAATCCTAGGAATGCCTCCTCTGGCAGGGCTGTCTGGGAGCTGGGGGATTTGACCTTGAATGTAGGTAGGGAGCCCTTTCTACCTTAAGAACTTAGAAAGAGATATTGTGAGGGAGTCTCCCATGCTGGTTGGGGTATCCTGATGGGCACAAGGGACCCTCAGAGTTTGGGCTTGGGTAAGAAATGGGCTGACTTGGATGACTAAATGTAGTTATCTGATAGATAACTGGGCTGTGGCTTGGGTTGGGTGGTCCCACCCTGGAAGGATCAGGATCTGGCTCTCAAGATATGGCCTTTGTTAGCTTTGGATCCAGTGCTTCTGGAGGAAATGGTAGAAAAGCTCAGTGGTGGCCTCTAGAACTGAAGGGCATGAAGGATGAAAGCTCCAGGGTCCAGAAGGATAGGTTCCTGAGAGTCTGTGACTTGAAGGGGCCCTGAGTGGTCTTAGGGCTAAAGAGGCTGTAGTCTAGTCTAGGGAGCTTGGAGACTCCAGTCAGCATTAGGGCTTTTGAGTGTATAGGGGCTGGAAACAAGATCAGGAAAATGGAGGCTGGGAGGATCAGTGAGAGGGGAACCTGAGGGAAAGGAGGCAGCCATAGGTTTGGGGCACACTGACCCTTCCCTCCCACTCCCTATACTTGGACCCTGCTCACCACCCTTTCCGTGGGCTCTTAACAGGGTAAGCTGAAAGAGAAACCCAAGCGCATCTGGCCCCAGGTATCCACCTCTGTACCGCCTTGGGCACTGCTTTCCTGCGTGCTTGTCTGTGTGTCCATTTGCTCTTTGCCTGTTTGCCCCATTGAGGTGGCTGCCAAACCTAACCCCCTTTTCTCTGCCCCGGATCCTTTGCCATCTAAGTTACTCTAAGGGTTGCGAAACCAAATGCCTGTTGCTGTCTCTGAGCTGGCATAGAGCATGGATCTCAGGGAGGTAGCAAGAGACATTCCATTTCTCTCCTGTTGCTCAAGACCTTTGTGGGAGAGAGGACCAAGTAACCTATCAGAAAGGTTTTACTGTGCTCTTAGCCAGGGCAGAGCCAGGAGAGACAGGAGGAGGAGCGTGTAGAGGAGATACAGACCTTGACCTTGGGAATTCACCAACAAGTTGGGGAGTTAGGTATGTACTACAAATGGAAACCTAAGTTTTATATAGGACAGTAGAGAAGATTCCTAAATACACTTATATACTACATTGGGATTTACAAACTACACGTAAACTCTCTGCTATAATTAAATGCTAAATTGAACAAAAGTTACATTGTAGGTAGTTCTAAGAAGGGAGATCCTTAAGTAGGGACTCAAAGCAGATTTGTATAGAGGAGAGACTGGGTTTGGGGTCCAGAGACCAATTTTTAGCTGTATGACCTTGAATAAGTCTCCTGTCCTCTCTGGGCTTACGGGTCTCTTATCAGTAACAGAGAGAAGATAATACATGCTTATTAAAAGGAAACTGCTTTCCTTACTAAAAAAACAAACAAACATAAAACCCATTATTCTTCTGAGTTTTACCATCCTCTTAGGGTCTTACTTTAAATCTCCTATAATTAACCTATTAGGCTAATGGTAAATATAATCCCCTTTTTCTCTATTCTCATTAGCATAGTGGAGATGGATCTGATTCCCATGGGACACTGCTTTCCTTTTAAAACTCAGCAAGGGATCTAAGACTTTTCTTTTCAAGGAGGTAACAGACTTAATGGTTAGAGTACAGGCACTGGAGCCAGAGTACTTGGGTTCAAATCTGCTACTGTGGGAGCTTGGGCAAGTGACTTAAGCTCTCTTGCCTCAGTTTCCTCACCTATAAAAGAAGGATAATAATTATACCTACCTGATGGAGTTTTGTCAATATCTATAATGTGTTTGGCATGTAGTAACTACTCCATACATATTAGCTTTTATTGTTTTAACAGCAGACAGGTGAGCATTTCTAAAAGGGAAACCAGAGGGGTGGTTCCATAGAGCAGTGGTTAGCATGTCTCCTTTACATGCAGAAGGTCCCGGGTTCGAGCCCCAGCAGAGCCACGGCTCATACCCTGGGTACACCAGGCCCCCCAGGTGCGCCAAGCCGCACAAGCACGTGGGAGGAGATGCCCCTTGAGTAGATGCCCTGCCTTCAGAGATCCAGTTCTTAAGGGGAGAGGGCAACATCCCTAGGTTACGGGTGGAAGTGGGGGGGAGGTATTAAAAAATAATAATAAAAATAAATAAAAGGGAAACTAGAAAAGAAACTTCTGTAATTCTTAATATCAGAGACTTTCAGGCTACAGGCTCCTGGAATTTTGTTTGTTGGAGGTGAAAACTGTTACCAAAAAACCAGAAGCCATAAAAATTGGCTTACAAAGTCCAGGTTTGTTGGCCAAGAATTGCGGTCAAAGCTACAGAAATCTTGGAAGAGCTCCAAACCCCCTCATCCTTAAGGAATCTTCAAGGGAGGGCCTGGCACAGTTTGTAGGTGCCCTCTTCAACTATGTCACCTATGAGCTTCCTTATGTTCCTCTCATACCTGGCAGCTGCCCTCCCTGAGGCTATCCTGGTCAAAGGACAAAGGCCAACCCCTCAATTCACATTTCAGAGAATTCTAACCTTTCCCTAGGTCAAAGCTCTGGGCCCTCACAAGCACACACCTAATTCACTACCAATGTTTGCAGCTCTAATTGAACTAACCCGGCTTCCTGGTGCCGGTTATCAGCTCCATGACTGAAGTACACACCCCTTGTTACTCACATGCTCACAAAAGAAATAGTTTTACAAGATTATAAGAGTCCTCTCATTGCCACAGTGTAACTTGCCCTTACATGTACCTAGTGCCTTTCCTATAACAAGTCACACCAGTACCGTAGACCAGCACCATTTGCCCAAAGCAATATTAACATGCTTCTGCTTAAATACATTAATGCCCTTATCAAGTAGATCATTTGGCAAAAAAAAAAAGTGTTCATGTGACAAGGTATGTGTAGATCCATATGGCTATTCCATCCAAAAAATGAGGGTGTGTTTTTGTGTTTTCTTTTTTTAAATTTAATGGCACCTCACTTGGCTTGGGCTTGCCGTTCTTATGATGCCTTTGTGCCAGAAACTTCAAATTCTCTAGAGTAAAGGGGCAGATAGTACAAAAAGAGGGGAGTGGTTGGAGAATCACTTTATAATTTATTAAGGTACATGTCTAACACTTTAGGTTTTTTTTTTTTTAAGGAATATAAGACTATTTATTAACCATTGTTTTCCAGTATTTACAATAAAATAAATAATATACAACTGGATAACATTCTGATTACTACAAAGTCATTGTTTCCCTGGCTTCTGCTGAACTAGTAACCCATATATACTGAGATTGAGCCTACACATAAGGAATGAGTTGGGATAAAGGAAAAACATGCAGGCCAAGAGTTTAGATTATGAATGTCTGTTCACCTATTTATTCCAGCAGGTCCTAAACTACCAAGTCTCTAACTATCTCTAACCTTTGTTCCATGAGAGAAGTCTTACACATTCCAGGAATCCTTACCTTTTCAAGTTAACATAGCACAAGGATCTCAACTTCTTGTAAAGGAATGGTACACTAGAAGGAACCCTTTAAATAAGTCTTGTTTGCCTAATTAAAACACACTAGGATTGACCTAGTTTTCTCATTTGGGTGGGGAGGTTGTTGGTAGTGACAGAATTTCCTTTAAGGGATTTCGCAAACAGACTTGCATTTATATGATTGTAGATATGGATATGGAGTCTGACGTGGTTCCTTTTAAGCAGTCCACTTTTAATTACTTACATTATATTTAAATTGCCAATTAATTGCAAATTATTTAATTTCAAAGGTTAAAGCTTCAGGAAAAATTTCAATTTAACTTCAAGTAATGTATTTCTTAGGTTGCTGAAAATGATGGCTTCCCAGAAACATGGGCTCATTCATGGTTTTAAAGTGCTGCTTTTCTTTGTTTTGGTAAATGTTAAAAAAAGAAGAAAATCATTTACATAGGTACTCTATGTATATACACCTAAAACCCCCAAATAAACAAAAAACCCAGAATGAATCTTAGGTATATATATGAATTAAACACAAATTCTGACTGAATAATTACAATGGAGATTTTCCCCAACATTTAGAAAGCTGTTCTCTAACGCAGAAGGGAAAATGTGGTATCAAATGTTCTTTCCTGATAAAGGAAGCAACTACAGAAAGCTTTCATTCAAAGTAAACAGTGCTATAGATGCAAAAACAACCCAAAACAAAACAAAAAAACCCCAACTCCCCCAATACTACTTTAGAACAAACACATCAAACTTGATTTTCATTAGAATGTAGTTATTTTTTTACCCTAATCAAAAAACCAAGACCCAGGTTTTGTATGTATAAAGCAACGCAAATAATTATTGGGCTTTGTCTTCTGGACAAGAATGCTGAGTTAGTCTCTCTTCATAAAAAGCAATTACAATTTGAGGACACTTCATATTTACGTCTTTTGCCAGCTCCATATCTGTCTCATCTGAATCTTTCCATTTCATGGGAAACATTAATTCTCTACTGCTATCTGTGGCGCCAATTATTTGTTCAGGATCAAGACTTCTGGTAAGGCCTCTTAGTTTATCAGCAGCATCTTTTCTTCTTTGATTTGCTATCAGCAGACTCACTGTCAGATTTTCTTTTGGTACTTTTTCTTTGCCAGCTTTTTGAGAATTAAGAAATGTTTCAATTAACATTGGACAAACTAAAACTTTTTCAGGTTCTTAAGTATTGTCAGCATCTGTGAATCCCTTCCACTTGAGGAAATACTCCACCTTTCCATTTACTATGCATTGGTCCAATACTTTTTCCACCACAAATTCTTCAGGCTCTGCCTCTTCAGCTTTTTAACACTTTCCATTTTGTTTCTCTTCCATCTTTTGCAATGTAGTTTTATTGGAGGCCATTTTTTATTGCAGACTTGAAGAAATATTATTCATTGCCTCCTAACTGCTCTGGTCCTGCATCTTCAGCTTCTCAGGCCCCTGCCCTCCTCCAGCTCGAGCCATATGCAAGGGGGAGGGGCACGTTGGTTTTTTTTTTAACCAAACAGGCATACAGTAGATCACCATATAGCCATACAATAGGAGCAGCTGTTTCTCTTATATTCTCATGTCTACCTTCTAGCCAGAGCCATTGAACATACAAGAGGCTAATGAATATGAAAGGACTGTGTGGCAGCTAAAGAAAACCCCAAACAGTTCCCATTATCATATCCTTAAATTCATCTCTCAGAGGAGTTCAGTATAACTAGGTTATATCTTTCTCTTTTGATGTTCCCCAAATCCTGTGAGACCATTAGGGCAAGAATGACTATCATTTTAAAAAGGAGTGAAGAGGTAAAGTGACTTGCCCAAGGTCATATGTAGCTGGGAAGTGGCAGAACTTTGATTGAAATCCAGTGTAATTTTTGGACAAATTCAGGGAGTCCAACTTTACTCAGTGAAGAGCAGACTCAGAAAACTAGTTGTTCAAAGAGGTTATTTCATCAGGAAAGTAAAACAGTTTTAAGGATAGTTTAGAAAAACTTTGGGGTGACAGATCCAGAAATAGTTATTGAAGGCACTCCAATATACAGGGAACCTCTCCGCTGAGAAAAAAGTCCACCTTGGTCCTTCTCCACCAACTTAAAACAAGGTTTCCTGATGAATGGAACCTCAGGTAAATGCCTTTATGGGAAACTCATCAGTACCAATGGTGTAAAGGCAGGGGCAAAGCTAGGATAGGAACCTCCAGATGTGGATGAGGTCTGGACATTCAGGAAAAGGTGCTTGGACCAAGATCTGTTGACTTCTTTCATTACTAACGGCCAGATGCCTGTCTCACCTGCAGGCTCTGACTAATTTTGCATTTCTGAATTGTGTGGTGTTCGCAATCCTGCTGATGAGCCACTAGTCCCATAAGTACATATGTGTGTATGCAGGCCTGTGTGTGCATATTCATTTATTCAACAAAAATTTACTGAGTGTCTTTTGAGTGCCAGGTGTTGGGGATATAGGAAAAAAAGAGAAGACCTCTGCATTCGTAGAGGTCACTATTTAGTTGGGGAGACAGTAATCAAGCAAACAACTAAATGAAATAACTGGAAATATGTGCTGTGTGGGAAAGAAATATGGTGCTGTGATCAAGAATAATAGCAGGGGTGATGATGGGGGTGAGAATCTACCAGATGCTGTTCAGAGAAAGCCATTCCAAGGTGATATTTAAACTAAGAAATTAAAGGATGAGAAGGGACCAAGAGTCCCTCTTCTGCCTGAGGCCAGGTGAGGGGGAACTCTGGAGCAGGTTGCTGGGAGTACCCAAGAAGTGTGCTGTTCTGCTCCTGTTCTCTCTGTCCCATTCTACCCTTACAAGGCCCTCCCTCCCCGCCAGCACCCCTACCTGCCAGTCTCACCTCAGCCCCTTCAAGTGCCAGGTAGGGGTATCTCCTGGCCCCATCTCAAGCTGTTCACAGTTCTTCCCTGCCCATTCCTGTCTTCCTTCCCCTGCAGATCTCCTGGAACGAAGGGATTGATTTGTGGTGGCATGAACTCATGCAGGGGGCAGGGGATGAGTGTGAGCCTGAGTGGTGTGATGCTGAGGACCCGCTCTTCATCCTGTATACCAGTGGCTCCACAGGCAAACCCAAGGCAAGTTGTGTGTGTGTGTGTACTGTGTAGGGGTGCCAAATGAGATTCTGAGGAAGCATATGATGACATGAAATTTACAACCCTGAGTTTCAGAAATGTCATATTACCTTTTCCAAACTGAATTAAGACACTAAATTGTGAGGCCCAAGGTAAGATAATTCAGGTGGGGGCTTTCCCATTTCCAAGAAAAGGAGAAAAGGATCAGTCCATGTGGCTTACACTGATTTTTCTTGCCCCTGCCCACATGGTTTGGTTGAAGGAGAGCTGCCCTATCAACTCAAGGCCAAGGTGGGCACAGGGATCCTTCTTGGGCTCCTAGGCTACAGCTCTTAGAATTCAGTTCCTTCAACATGCTAAACTTCAATATCTTGTCCTTCCCAGGGCACAGGGTGGGAGCCAGGAATACTTAAGAAAACTCTGACTCTTCTACTGACTCGAAAGATATGACACTCTACCTTCTACTTACCCCATCCTTAAATTCTTCTCTCCACATGCTTTAGAGTATCCTTCAATTGGCCTTTAGATACACAATTTTAGTCTGTCTTTCTTAGGGATGGGATTTTGATGGAGTTAGCAAAGATTATCTTTTTAATTTTCCATTCAGTCAACATGTAATTGTGTGTGTACAAATATACAACAGAGATGCTATTAGATGTGAGTGTACTAGAAGTGTTCATGTATGTGAGTATGATGTGGGTGGCTCAGAAATACCATCTTAGCGTGTGGGTGTGAATGATGGACTGAATATATGTGTGTGGGGTATGTGATGGGAACATGGAAAAAAGGGGACGGAAGAGAGGTGGATGCCATGAAAGGGTGCTGGCAGGGCCAGAATCCCTGAGGATCTTCCTCTAGCTCTGCCCAGCCTACATTTAGTGATCAGTGGGGGTGTGCCCAAGGCCCCAACCAGAGGCCCTCTTTTTCTCCAGGGTGTAGTACACACAGTTGGAGGCTACATGCTCTACGTGGCCACAACCTTCAAGTACGTGTTTGACTTCCACGCAGAGGACGTGTTTTGGTGCACAGCAGACATTGGCTGGATCACTGGCCATTCCTATGTCACCTATGGGCCACTGGCCAATGGTGCCACCAGTGTTTTGGTGAGAGAGGAGCTGGGACCCATGGCTACCTGGCCTACTTAGGGGATGGACAAGATGATTCTATGTGACTGCCTCCCAAGGCCACTCGGTCTAGAGGCAGTGTGACTTACACAGTCCTTTCTTGGTTCTGAGGGGGTTGTACATCCTAAGTGGGATGTTCTCTTGGCTTGTCTGGTAAGGGACTGAAGGCATGGGTTTGTCAGAAAGGGCAAAATACTGAGCCTGAGGGTATGGTAGGGGAATGGAGGGACTATTGGGAAGAACTGGGAATGACTAGCCTTCACTGTGGTCAGTTTGAGGGGATCCCCACATACCCGGATGTGAGCCGCCTGTGGAGCATTGTGGACAAGTACAAGGTGACTAAGTTCTACACAGCACCCACAGCTATCCGTCTGCTCATGAAGTTTGGAGATGAGCCTGTCACCAAGTGAGACTTCACCCCAGCTGCTGCCCCATGGGTATCCCTCAGAGCTGAGTGCTGGCCTTTGTGCACAGTCTTTTCCATTCCCCTGTTCCAACTCCCTGGCCTGGAATAGGGGAGGGGGCAGGAGAAGAGCCTGGGCATATCCTGGTCTCAGTGGTACTCAGAGCCTCCCTCTCTTCTCTACTCCCCTGCCCAAGGCATAGCCGGGCATCCTTACAGGTGCTAGGCACAGTGGGTGAACCCATCAACCCTGAGGCCTGGCTGTGGTATCACCGAGTAGTAGGTGCCCAGCGCTGCCCCATCGTGGACACCTTCTGGCAGACAGAGACAGTGAGTAAGGGCTTGAGAAGGTTGGGGCTCAGGGATAATGTGGGAAGACTGATTTACATCCCTGGTCTTTTGACTTCCACAGGGTGGCCATATGCTAACCCCGCTCCCTGGTGCCATACCTATGAAGCCTGGTTCTGCTGTGAGTAAGGCTCTCTTGGCTGGTCTTAGGCTAGGCAGGAGTAGAATCTTGGGGCATTTGGCCTAGATGGAGGGTGGGGGACTGGACTGAAGATGTGTGCAGAATTTGAGGCTCTGCATCTCCTTTGGAGAAGCAAAGAGTTGAGTCAGAGTTGTCTCATTCTTCTCCTTGGGTCCTGTCTCCTGTTTGTTTCTAGACCTTCCCATTCTTTGGTGTAGCTCCTGCAATCCTGAATGAGTCTGGGGAAGAGTTGGAAGGTGAAGCTGAAGGTTACCTGGTAAGGCCCTGGCCCTTGGGAGTGTTTGAGGAGGTGGGAGAAAGGGTCCACCAAGGAGTACTATACTTGGCTTCAGAATTTAGAACCTGATCTCTCCTGGTAGCCTCTTGTGACTAAACTTCCATGGTTGAGGGTTTATCCTCTGCAGAGATCTTGGGGTGAACCCTTTTGGATGCTTTGTCTGTGTCTCTGCCTTTTGGCTTACAAGACCCTTAAGGGCTCTGCTCAAAGATTCCTGATGATGCATTTTAGGGTCTGGAAGACTTAGTCCCAACTCTTCCTTTGATAAACATTCTAGTATGAAAGGAGGCTTCATAACAGTGGAAAATCATTTAGGCTTCAGAGTCAATCTGCCTGGGTTCAAATTCTGGCTCTGTCTCTTCTGTGACCTCAGATAAGTTACCTCACTCCTCTAAACCTCAATTTCCTCATTTGTAAAGTAGGGTTATAATAGTACTCTTCTGTGGTCGCTGAATTGATTAAATTAGATAATCCCTATGCCGGGTTTAGTATAGAACCTAATAGTGCTTGATAAATGTTAACTGTTGCCTTGATTGTTGTATTAGTACTTACAGGGAGATCATCAGCCCCACCCTCCACTCTGCTTCACTTTTACTTAGAGCAAGTTAGTAACAAGGGCAGGACTTGAATCCAGGCCTTCTGATTCTTAGCCTAGAATTCCATCATCCTACCAATCTGCTGCCACAGGATGTTATTGATTGGGGCAATAATTACTCCTATGTGGGTCCCACATTTTTATATGACTGTTTTCATTTGCATCAAACTGGACCTACTTTCCTGAGGGTTTACCCAAAAGGAGACTCAAATTTACTAAATGCTTATCACTAAGAGAACATTGTGCTAGGCAACTTCTACATACTACCAATTTAATCCTCACAATAACTTTGAGAGGTAGATATTATTTTCTCTGATATACAGATGAAGATCTGGAAGCTGAGAGGTAAAGTTACTTACCTGAGGTCACACAGCTAGTAAATGGCACAGTTGGGATTCCAAGCCTGGACTGTCTATTTCCAAAGCCTGTACTTTGTCCTACTTCTCAGGAATGGCATTCAGGGTATTTCTCCTCAGGTTTGGCAAAGTTGTGATTGTCTTCCAGTGAGACAGCACAGCAGATGTGACCAGTGTGCCTTCCTCACTCCCAGGTGTTCAAGCAGCCCTGGCCAGGGATCATGCGCACGGTCTATGGGAATCATGAACGCTTTGAGACCACCTACTTTAAGAAGTTCCCTGGATACTACGTGACAGGAGATGGTGAGCTTGGTTATCCCCTTCCCACACCCAAGACATTTTCAGGACAGGAAGAGTTGTCTAGGGGTGGAGAAGGAGAGAGAGAAGAAGAGGAAGAAGGATGGAAGGAGGCAGGAGGGAGCGGGTAGAGGGAGAGAGGGAGAGAGAGATGGAACAGCGGGGAGAGGGAGGGAGGGGGTGGCGGAGAGAGAGAAAGGAAGAGAAAACGTCTTTTGTGTCAGTGTCTAATAT